GAACCACGGAAAATGTTCCCCAGCTCTCCCAGGCAGTTGGCACTCAGTGTTTGTGAGCCCCAGAGCCACACAGCATTGCCTGCTGCCTGAAGACAGACAAAACAATGTTAGTGTAGGCAATCAATGCCTGCTCGAAGAGGTAAACTAACACTCCAGGGAGAAAACGGAATAAAGGGATCTGTGAAGAGTCTGGTCTTTGCAGAACTGAGATCAGGCAAAACTCCAGTAGAGTGATTCCTGCTTCAGATTCCCACTTGCAAGACCCAGAGGCATTATCAAACGATAAGCAGGGGCAGAGCAATCCCCTCTCCATGCCACCCCCTGGCTCAGCTCCCAGCAGAGCATCACTGCTGGGGTTGATGCAGGATTGCAGGCAGCACGACGAGTCCCATCGCCAAGCCAGGCTTGGTGGCCTGTAAGAAGTGGGGCCAGCGAGAATCTGGTTGTGAATGTGATGCTAGCTTGCACTGTGCTATGTGGGCATGGAACCATGGGCACACCCTTCCATCAACCACCACATCACCTACCCTGTACATGTGGGTTTTCATGCAGCTCGAAATGGCTCCTAGCCATTCCTGTGAGTGAATATACAAGGAAGCTGAAAAAAGTTCAGCAAGACATTAAAATCATTAGCGATGAAAGATAAAGCTTCTTAGGGTAATATTTACCTCCAAGCTGATGGAAAGGCTACCCTGCTCATTTGGCCTCATTTGCCACATTCCCAAGGAGGTACATAAGCTGCGTAATGCCCCACTTGCTGGGGTTCCTCAGAGACAGCAGCCCTCTTTTCCACTACACTGACATCCAAAAATATATTTTTCCAATGCTAAGGACTTGAGTCAATTTGTTTGGTTTTGGCAATGGATTTCTTATTAGACAGAGGATCATACCCTCCAGCTCTCCAGCCCACCCCAAGCCCAGACATTAAAGTAACAAGCCACAGACATCTAAAATGGAGACCCCTGGTTGTAGGTTTACCCACAAGCATTAAAAAAGTCAGGACACATCACATGGCAAGTAACTCAGGCAGCAGACCATCAATTTAAGCCATGGCTATAGGGGTTTTACCTTAGAGGTAGCTGAGGCTGGTGAATTGTAAGAACCAGGGCATGGCCCATCCCTGGTTCTGCCAAGAGGCACCTGGCGAAACCTTGCTTAGTGTCTTCTTGCCTGTCCTGTGCACTGGATGGTCCACCCAGAAGGTGGCCAACCACCCATGCGTGTGTGCATGCACACTTGCAGACTCTGAGCATGGATCTCTGTTGGCCAGCACTCAGACCCTCAGGTCCCTCGGACTCTACATGGCTTTGTTGTACTTGGGCATCAAGATCGCCTGTCCTACTGAGCAGCTGGTCCAGTCTGAAGTTCACCAGCTGGTTAAAAAGACAGGCTCATAACGGGGAGCGCAGTCACACAAAAGAAATGAGATTTAATAAGAGTATAGGACAAACTGCAGTGATGAAACAAGGCGCTCAGGCAGGCAAGCGTGCCTACCACTGCTTACATGCCACCTAACCCTTTCCGCCCTTTTCTTGCTGTTTTTCCCATGCTTGTTCCTTCCCTGATCCCTCCCTTTCCCCTTCCTACATCTAGTCCCCTAAACATCCCATATGAAGTTTCATGCATCCCTAGGTTCTGCTCTGCACCATCCCCAAAATCTCCCTCCTCTGTATCCCACCATAACTAAAAGTTTTACATCACTGTAGGCCTTCATTGCCCTTAAGCTTCATGACATTGCCAGGAGACAGAATTGCCTTCAGCAAGTCACCTTAGTGGGCTTTGCTGAGCTGGAAGAGGAGAGGGAACAGTTCATGTTGGTGTTGCTGCCTTGCATCTGATAAGCCAAGCTTGGTTTTTGGAAGCGAAATGCATGTTGAACTAAGGACAAGGAGACACGTGCAGCAGAGGATACCACAGTGTTACAAGTCACAGTAAACTTGTTCCTGTTAGGGGTTAGCTCACTCCTGGGCACTGGAAAAAGAGGAAGCATCACTTGGTTTGGGTAAAGCAGGTGTCAAGGTAAGGCCTGCAACCCCCTCTGGCTCCCATCACTTCAGACATGTATGAACGCAGGGAAACATGAGCTTCCCTTGTTCATGGTTTTTTGGGTTGGGTAAATGTTAGAGTTAGGCAAAACATGTCCCAAGGACACAGTGCTTGAATGGGGGGTCTCAGAAATCCCACTAGCTCCAGACAGATGCAGAAGAAATATCTTGTAGCCAAAAAAGCAGATGCCAACAGATACATTTTTGTAACTGCAGAAATGATTGTGGATGACTACAAAGTTGGATTACGCAGCTAGTGTGTTTCTTAGGCGAAGACATGAGCAAGGTTAAAATGTGTCTAGGACGGAAGGGTGTCTCACAAAATTAGGGGCATGTTAGCCTATGGAGTGCATGAATGAGGCCGAGCAAAGAGTCAATGCCTCATAGAAAGTGAGGGAACAGGCATGGAAAATTCATTTTGCACTTCCATAAACTGCAAGCTCTGTGGACAACTATGTGTTGAAAGAAGCAGGGCAGCTGAGGTGGCATGCGAGGCTCTAAAGGACACAGGCTACATCCAGGACTACTAGCTTCTGGCTCTGAAGAAGGAAGGGTTAAGAGGCCATGATGGACTGTCCAGACATGCCACAGACAGCAAACCACCTTGGAATATGTCATCAGGCACCTGTAGCTTGGAAGGACTTTGTCCCTAGCAGCACATGGCGGGGGCTCCATGGAGGAATTGAGGTGTACAACAAATGTCTCCAGAGCTTGTCCCCGGGTACCGAGCAACAACAAGGATTGTCAAATCAGGGTAGCATGGAAAACAGAATTCTCAAACTGGAGATGCAAAGCTCTCAGCCTCTGGTGAGAAGGGGAAGATGACCAGCATACAAGTTTAGGTGTCTTCAGTACTGACTGAAGGAGGCTGGACCGGAGGCGGAGGGAAATGGGAGGACCTGAGCATGCATGGGAGAGAATGAACATGGAATAAGCATGGATGGAGAAGAATAAGGATGATCTGTGGGGAAAGGGAGGGGAATGGAGAAAACCAAAGGGTGCGTGAAGGGGAAGGGAATGAACCTAAGAGCACAAGGGCTGACATGGTCCTGCTACTGCACTCAGAAACCTCTTTTCCTGCCCCCAAATGCCTCTTCCCCACTCCAGTGTCCCATTCTCTGCACCGCAGCACTCGAAGGACCTCACCACCCCTCTGGCCTCCGGCAACCCCGCCAGGCACCCAAACACACCATCTCCTTCCCCAACACCGCCAAGACGTCTGCCGCGCCCTACGGCTCCGGCTCCGGCTCACACCCACC